TTCGAAATCGGGACTATAATGCGTTTCCTCCCGTGAAAGGGACGGGAGATGAGCAGAGGACGTCAAAGGGCCAATCGAATCAAAGGACGCGCCGCTGGGGGTTGTTCCTGTATTCGAGATTTATTCCTACCCTACCTCTCGTCTCTCCGTCTCTCTCTCTCTCTGTCTCTCACTCTCTTTCTACCTCCATGGCCAATAAAGAGGAACCACCCCCGATTCTCCGGATGAGTATTAGTACGCCTACACGAGCGATGTTAGCTTTCTATCTTTCTCTATCACACACGTTTACGCTCGTTTCCGCATGCGAACGATGCTAAGACTAACTGCACGTTTCCTGTACTGTTATCCGTATATACTGCGAAAGAGTAGCATCTCTGTGCTCGTACGTTTCGGAGCTTTCAAAGGGGATTACTGAATATGGGGTAAAGAGAGAGAGAGAGAGAGATAGGGAGAGAAAGAGAAAGAGAGGCAGCGAGCTCAATCAACCGATAGTTTGCTATATTGTCTTTAACGTTCCGCAAGACTGATGAAAATCATCGATTTCAATATCCGGGGGACTAATGTTATAAAAAAAAAAAAAAGGATGAAATAAATCTAAATAAGAATATCTTTAGATGATAATGATGTCGACAAAGGAAATATTACAATTGGCAATAATAAAAAAGTATCCACATAGTAACTATATGTTTATATAGACATTGACACTTTTTTTTCCTTTTTTTTTGTTTTTGAAAAAGCAAAAATTTTAATCGAAATTTTGGCGACATCCCGACTTTGAAATTTGACCTGTATATGCGATCTTTTTTCGTTGCTTTATCGATTACAATTTACGTAATACGTCCATACGTTCATTCTGGATCACCATAAATCTCGGGAAAACGCGTATCGACGTCGAGAGTAGTCGACGATACTAACGAGATTCTCAGTTCTACGTTCGTGTCTATTTCATTTTCTTTTTTCTGCTATTTCATTTTCTTTTTTCTGCTATTTCTTTTCCTTTTTCTTCTTCTCTCTTCTTCTTCTTTTCTTCTTTTTTTTTTTTTTTTTTTTTTTTTTTTTATTAATCCATATCCCTCTTCTAAATGGACCGAATTTTTTTTACCAAGGCTCTGTGCGAACAACGAAACCGTGCATTTTCCTCAGCACGCGATGAAAACATCGACGAGAATGGGCTCTGCTTTGTATAGACGAAAATTCTGATAGCTTTGAATCTGGGACACGTGTTCTTCTCTCTCTGTCTCTCTCATATATATATATATATATACGTACATATATATCCTTTTTTATTTTCTTTTTTATTATCATACCAGTAGGTATCCTCTAAATATAAAGGCAGCTAAATATCAGAGTCGCTCGTTTCGTCGATTGTCCATCTAAACACGGTAGCGCTTGAGATCAGAAATCATTCCTCGGTCGACCTTCAATTTTTTTTTTATTTTCTTTACATTTAATAGTTAATTCGTAGTTTGATATTCACGTAACTATGTTGGAGAAAAAGAGCAGAGCGTGGAAATTTAAAAAATTTATCGCGAGATTCTCCTGACATAAGAAAGAGAAAGAGAGAGAGAGAGAGAGAGAGAGAGAGAGAGAGAAATAGAGACAGATAGACAGATAGACAGATAGACAGACAGAGATAGAGAAAGAAAGAGAGAAAGAAAAAGAGAGATGGAGAGTTACTTTTTTAACGTTTGCTGCACTACCTTTTCTAACGGGCTCGATAATTTCATCTAGGTAAAATATAAAAGGCGAAGCGAATGCGTGACTTATTCGATTTCTCGAAACAAATAAACAAAAAAAAAAAAAACAAAAAACAAAAAAAAAACAACAAAAAAAAGAAGACACGAAAAATGGTAGACGAATAGAGAGGCGCGTTCTAAAGGTAAAAAGCAATGTCGTGTTATTCGATAAACTCGTTCAACCGTTCGGGATTCTAATTGTAAGATCTTATAGGATTTTCATGTTAAATCCTGTCACGTGCAATACGTGATATTTCAAAAATTGATATATCGCATCTTATACATTTTATTGACAAATAAATAAAAGAAGAAAATGTTCTCTTTATTTCTATTATCTATTCTTATCTTTATTAAACCTCGTTCTTTATACGTGATATCGATAAATATTGTATTCGAACTTTGTTAAATTTAAACTGATCCGTTAGTTCTTAAATCGTATTTATCAATTAATCAAATAACTAATTTATTTCTATTTGAAATTTCTATCTAAAGATATTCTATCTGGATATTCATTAAATCTTAAAAATAAATTTTTTTTATATCTATGACATATGAAAAAAAAAAGCATGAATTCTTATAAACGAAATAGAAAAGAACTGGAAAAAGCTTCGTGGATTGTCCGCATTAAATGAGTAAGGCAAAATATAAGAGAGAAAAGAGAGAGAGAGAGAGAGAGAGACAAAAGAGTTTTTCTTATTTCCGAGTAAAAACGTAACACGTTTATCTTTCCGCTCACGCGTTCAAGAGGACAAATAAACCGCGTTTATAATAATTTGGTGTACGATCTTATTTTTCGACAATATTTTTCATCCTCTTTTTCTCATTTATATTCTTTTCATCTCGATCTTTCTAATTCCTTCCAACACCGGAAATATATCGTAAATAAAGTAAGATCTATCGATCGTGGGCCTTCTCGATCGTGTCTTCGCTTTTCATCGAAACGCCAAGACAACAATGGCTTTCGCACGTTATTCTATTTTTCCATGGGCTTGTTTGATCGAATCCCACCATAATATTTCTCTCTTTTTCTATTCTATACCTATACACAAATACATCCGGATGGATGCATATATATTCGCAACGACTTGCATTCCTAATTGCATTCCGATAACCGATTCGCGTATCTCAATTCCACGAGAGAAATTATGTCCTTAATTGCCCTGGCTCTGCTTTTTCTTTTAGATTTTTTTCTTTTTCTTCTCTTTTCTCTTTTTTCCTCTTTTTCTTTTTTTCTTTTTTTTTTTTTTTCTTTTCCTTTTCATTTCCATTCATTTTATTAACGATCCCGGGTTAAGTGTCATTCGCATTAGCTTTGTGCTTTTTCTTCTATCTAATCCATTCGGGATCAAACGTTTCGTGATTTCTAGGAAAATATGATATCGAATTTAAATCGTTATCTGTCTTTCTATCTAATCGGAGAAATATAAGATATTTGATTAAAATGTCTTTCCAAAATTTATCATGACCCATGGGAAGTGATTTTCAATTTAGCAAACATAGATAACGATCGATGCGCCGAGTCCATTAGAAACGTATCAGTAGTACAAACGAAAGGGAATAAGAGAGAGATTGTAACTAGAAACCGGTAAAAGTTCGCTGTAATTGATACTCAAAATGAAAAGCGGAATAAAAGGGACGACGTGCATTCGCGTATCTCCCATGTTCTATATATATATATATATATATATCTAACTATCTATTTATCTATCTATCCATCCATCTTTTTCTCTTACTATATTTCTCTTTGAAAGATCGAAAAGCTTTGACCGTATACTGCAAGAAGCCGAAGCAGAAACTCATACGAAAAGGATAACACGAATGTAAAGAGACTTTGGAAAAGCGATAGATAGACATACATAGATACATACATACATACATATATACATTCTGAAAAATTCGGTCAGTTTTGCAGTCATTCGTTATGCGCTCAGAACGCATAAACGGAAAAAAGAAGAAGGTTACACGTTTTGTCGTTTATTTATTGGCTTCGTGAGTTTCCAGTGTAGGAACGAACGGATGGTTTTTTCGCAAGTCGAAGAAATAGATTTCCTTCTCTTCGACAAAGCCGTTTTACATGAAAAACATAAAGGAAAAGAAGAAGAAGAAGAAGAAGAAGAGAAAAGATGTACAAAGCGATTCGGCTTCTTTTCCGGAAAGTCATCCAGCCGAGTGCAACGCCGTTCCAGAAAGAAAATGTTAACGACGACGTCGACGACAAGGGGGTTAGAAGAAAACGAGGTGGATTCGAGTACGAATGCGTAAAAATATGACGTAAAAGATATACGAAAGAGAAAAATAGAGATATATATATAGAGAGAGAGAGAGCGAGAGAGAGATAAAGAAAGACAATTTGTAGAGGAATGTAAATTGTAAAAAAAGAAAAGATATACGTATATACGCGTACTCGTATATTTTTCTGTCGATCGTACGCGTTTCTATGTGCCGTTAAAAATATACTTCTATAATATCATCGAAATGGTATTAAACGTGCACCTTTTAGAAAAACTTTGACGAATGAAAGTGCGAGGAAACATAAGAAAATGGAGAAGTAGGAAGGAAAAAGAAAAAGGATAAAAGAAGGAAGGAGAAAGATGAAGGAAAATTATTATTGGACATTTTTTTTCTTTTCTTTTCAAGTAGGATTCCTTAAAAAAGAAAAAAAAGAAAAAAAAGAAAAAAAAAGAAACGTTTAAAAATATCCCATCGGATATGAAATTCCTCGTGAAGGAAAAGGCACTCTTTTACGTCAACTCTGGTATCGAGCGTACGTTTCAAGGCTAGGGCAAGCACGTTAAGAAGACGACGATAAACGCTAGCTCTCGTCTAGCTAGACCGAAGGGTGATTACGAAGTTCGCGTGAAAGGTGGAAAAAAAAAGAAGAAGAAAAAAAAAAAGAAATCGAGTTGGGTAGGTGGACGGGTTGGGAGGAAAAGAAGGATCGATCGGATACTATCTCTTCGTGTCTTCGACTCTCTTCGATTCTCTTCGCAAGAGTACAGAAAGTAAAGAGAAGAAATAGAAGAACTAGAAGAAGAAGAAGAAGAAGAGAGATAGAAGAAGATCGTACGCTCGTACGCGTTTCCTCTTCGAGCTTGGTTAACAGAGCCGAAGAGACGGGCTTTTAAACGAGACAAGCATTGACTTTGAAGCAAACGGCTGGGTGCTTCTTTTCAACTCAAGAGAGAGAGAGAGAGAGAGAGAGAGATAGATAGATAGAGAACATTCGCATCGTTAGCAATCGATAATGAGAGCGCGTATAATTACCATATTTTTCGATGCCAATGAACCACCTCTGCTGTCCACGATTCTGAAAAAAAGAAAAAAAGAAAAGAAAAAGGATAGATAGAAAAAAGATGATGACGCAAAGAGAAGACTGAGACGAAGAAAAAATGAGGAAAAAAATGAAGAAGACGAGGAATGAAACGATAAAAGAAAGTTACAAGCTCGCGTGCGAACATTTCGCCTAACACAACGCACACACCTTCCTTCCACTTAGAAATTTATGAACGCGATCGAGCCAAAGGGATAAGGGCGTATCGATCAAGTCGCGTCGCAGCTCTCAACCCTTCGTATGCATCGTAACTACTAGTATTACTACTACCCTACTACTACTATCTTACTAGTGCTATTACTACTACTATCCTACTATTACTACTACTATTACTTATTTGGAGGAGACGTCTGTCTTTTCTTTCCTTTCTACATTCACACGAGACATACTTTTTTCTTTTCCTTTTTTTTACTTTCTTTTTCCCTTTTACTACATATTTTTCATTGTTTTAAACAAATATCTATGTGTTAAGAGAACGAAGAGATGAACGGAGAGGGGACAATGTAAACTGTAAACAACGAAGAACGCGTTGGCTGGAGTAAAGATGGAAAAGCAGAGGGATATAAAAGAAAAAGATAAAGAAAAAAGAAAAGAAAAGTGCTTTCCAAGCGTTAATGCATTTTTCACCGAGAAGACATATATTCCGGGTCGTTCCGCGTATGGCCGGTTCTTCTAATGGCTTTTAAACGAGTATTTTCGGACCCCATGGAAAAAAACTCATCCTTATGTTGCTAAGCGATGCTAATGTTTGCCTTAGATGCTTACGAAATAATTAATGACTTTTGTTGTAAACATATCCCACTTTAACTTTAATCATTGCGATACGAAGGGTTCGGAATGATTATTAAATCGACTTCAAATGTGAAAAGAACTTGACTGAAAAAAATATTTTCCAATACTCGTTATAATGTATCGGATAAATAAACGAAGAAAAAAAGAATAGCGAAGTAATGGAGAAATCGAAAACAAATTGTGTGCAAAAAGCATTAGATAACGAATGTTCAGTTATGTAGATACTATTATTGTGGCAAATTCGTATCCGATTCATTTGCTTTAACGTTTCGGTCCAACAAATTCTAGGAGCAATCGTCGAATCCCTATTCTCTCCGATTTTTCCTATCGAAATACGCTAATCCTCCCTTGCCTTTTCGTGCGCGCCGCTTAACTCCGTACGAAAGTTTTGGAGAATCGACGGGACGCGTCCGAGTCTTCGATTTCGAGCGTGAAATTTATTCGACCGTAACCGTGCCGCGATTCTTTTGCGATAAAAGCTACCAGCTATATATACACATATGTGTATGTGCGCGCGCGCGCGCACGTATATATATATATACGGGAGAAAGAGAAAGAAAGAGATAGAAAATAAATATTATTTTTGCATTTACGACTTTTATCGTTTTCCAATCCGGCCACCCCCTTTCCACGACTAATCGTAGATTCTTCCGACTGTAACTTCGCTATATGCGTTCAGTATATATATATATATATATATATATATATATATATATACATACACATACGTGTACGTATAAAATTCACGTGTGTGAGTATCTCTACGTGCCAGCTGTTTCCACGCGGATTGCCCGTCGCGATTTCAACTCTTTCTGTTATCGGAATCCATGACGTGGTAGATACTCTATGTTCATTGATCTTAAACAAAATATCGAAGATAATATCGTAAAGAAATGATTTTAACTCAATCTAGAATGTCGTATAACTTTAAATTCATACTCATCTAGATATATCTTATTTCACAACGTTCTCCCGATAAAATTAATTATTACTGATAAGCGTTTCATCATGTTAGATGGGAAAATATTCCGCAGGATTTTCTTCTTCGTTTTTTTTTTCTTTTTAGTTACATTAAATCGAAAAAATTAATGATACCGCCGTAAGGAGTCGATTTAATTTCTAATTGTAATTCTTGAAATTTAAGTTAAAATCGTTTTAATTCATATTACCAGAGAGAGAGAGAGAGAGAGAGAGAGAGAGAGAGAGAGAGAGAGAGAAATAAAGAGACAGGGAAACAGATAGACAAAGAAAAAGAGAGAGAGAGAGAGAGGCGCAGCCTCCCAAAAGAGATTAAACTGTCGTGTCTTCAGCGCATCCACATACGTGACAGATGCAATGGTGTGTACGCGAACGATCGACGCGTGGTACCGATAGACTAGCGCGGACAGTAATAATTATCAAAACGCGAAGCATCGCCAGCCTGCAGGCTGCAGGAACATCGCCAATAGCAACGGCAAACTGCAACAACAACGGCAACAATAACAGGGATTGTTGCTTGCTTCTCCTTTCACGTAGCAACGTGTCTGTCTGTCAGTGGATGCGCTCGCGTGCATATAGAGATGATCCAATAGGATTTTAGCTCGTGGAGATGCAACATTGTTCCTTTTCTTTTTTTCCCCTTCCCCTTCCTCTCTGCCGTATCCTCATTTCTATTTTCGACGTACGTTTCTCCAAAAGTCAATCGCGTCTAAACGATGAAATTGATTCGATCTTCACTCCTTTTCCTCTCGTGGTTGGTGTCCTTGTATCGTATTTCTTCTTTTTCATTTTATTTCTTTCGGTTTTTTTTTTTTCTTTTTTTTTCTGACGTCTCGCCCGACAAACTCGAGGGATTCCATTCTCGATCGATCGAGAATGGTTTTAAAAAAGATGGCAATCGTCCGAAATATCATTTGAAACGCACGTACGTAAGAGCAGCACGCTCGATTTCCACCTACCCTGACGAATATTTCATTTTAAAAGGACGAATATCTCGGGATCGTGGTCGTTCGAGGATACGAGAATAGATAGAGATAGAGATAGAGAGAGAGAGAGAGAGAGAGGGACGACGACGACCGACTCGACAAAATCGACGCTCGTCGTACAAACTTTCGACGGCTTTCGAGATTTGGCAGCTGTCCCGACGACGAATCAGACGAGCTTTCGAAACGAGTCCGAACTATCTACGTTTTTCTCTCCTTCCATTCGAATGCTTTCGACCTTTCCTTTTTTTTTTTTTTTCTTACGCAGACATTTTTCTGTTTTTTCTTTTTTTTTTTCTATTTTTCTTTCTCTTTTTTAACTAGTTGTTATAAAATCCTCACAACCTTTTTCTCATTTCCGTTCAGATGCGATCGTCGTTAATTCTTTCTTCATACACGATTTATTTTGTTTTGAAATGAAAAAAGAAAAAAAAAACAAAAAAAGAAAGAAGGAGGAAAAAAAAAGCTTTGTGTGACCGGACCATAAATTATTATTTCATTCTTAATTAAACTGTATCGAATCTAATCACGTATGTCGTAATTATTGAACAAATTAATGTGATGCGTTTGAGGGTTGAAAGAGCACATTAATGGTCTTATTAATTGTGATTTGAAGCAACCGATCAATATATTCGATACTTGCGTATTCAACAGCATAAACTAAAATCACGATTATCCTCGTTCTCATTTTTCGAAACGATCGTTAATCGAGCCACGTATTAAACGACGTCTCGATTAAGCGACGTCCAATAAATCAACACTCTCCGCCATTTATCAACATCGCATATCGCTGACGGACATATAGCCGCGAGGTACTAGAACGATTTTTATATTCATGCCATGCAAAATCGGCCGAGCGGGAAACGGGAAACGGCTTCTTTCCTGCACCTCGTATAACACATAGAAAAGATAAAAATTGTTTTTATTAACGAATTCAATAAACGGGATATATCGTGTTAATGTATTAATAAACCAGTCATTGCGATATATATATATCTCGAATAAAAGACAAATTAAAAAACGACATCGAATCGATTGTAAATTATGTCATGTTAACCATCGAAAGAAATCAATGAAATTTCCCTTCAACATTATTCATTCAATTTATTACAAACTATAGATATCGAACAATAATAAAAAACGTTTAATATCATTTCTTGTGATTCTTATTAAATTTTAAAATAAAGTAATATAATATATTGAAATTTCGTTCATAGTATACATTTGATATCGTTTAAAATTCTTGTCCATCTTTTTCCTGTAATAGTAGGAATCTAGCAAGAGAAAGAGAGAGAGAGAGAGAGAGAGAGAGAGAGAGAGAGAGAGAGAGAGCAAACGTTATCTTATCGAGACCGTATGAAATTACAATTAAATGGTTAATGAGAAGGAAACAGCTTTTTGTCCTATTTAAAATTACGAAATTAGTATAATTGTAAGACAAGATAATAATAATGATTTCCAAGAAATCGCGTAAGAATCAAATGGCTCGGCATTATCGTATACTATCTATTATGATAAAGATGCACTATTATCTATGTAAGATACCTATTTACTTATTCCAAGAGTAAAACGCGTTATCACGTACGATTTCATACAGAGAGAAATATATTCGATAGGAATATCAATGGATTCGTATATAGCTCGTTCGACTAAGTTAATACGCGATTGCCGTGTTTCTTCCCCATTTCTCTTCACGAAGTAAACTAGCTCGGAAATTAACTTGGAATGATTAATTACGGTGTAATTTATTTTCGAGAGATTAAAACGGCAATGCTCTTTCGCGTGTATTCACGTTTATTGCCAAAGAAATTCGTCGGATCTTTTCAAACATTTTTTCGAAGATACGATTTAAATCTATCACATCATAGTTTTTGTATATCCTTTCGAAAGGTCGATATCGTTTTATATCGAACATCGAGTAAAGGGAATTTGTGAGAGCAGAAGGATGAGCTCTCTCGCTCTCTCTCTCTCTCTCTCTCTCTCTCTATCTGTCTATCGCGCTCGTGTGCGCGTTTTATGGAAGATAATCGGTGCTTGAAATTCGAGAGCTCGGGCCAATGGTGTTCGTCTAACGGCGTTGGCACGCTTTGCACATACGACAAGCCGAGATGATATCGATCGTAACGCTTTCAAGATCGTTATACCGTTCTAACGTTTCTACGAGTTTACGAGGCGGACAGCTACTAGTAAATATTAATCCTTCGTATTCGAACGACCAAGTAAAATGCCTCGATGCATTATATTCAACTACTATCAGAACGTTTATCATTAGTTTATTTATTCGTTTTATTTATCATCCAACAATTATGTGAAATATGTTGTAGTTAAACGTATCTACATTCAAATTAACGTGTTAAAACAAATCATTTTCGTTAGCTTCTCTAGATATATGTTTAGTTGCAAAGATATAAACTCTCTTCAAAGATAAACGTCATCTGATACCCACGAGATTTCACTGGCGAAGACGGTCTAAGTACTTAACCTAACGAATTTTCCTATGGGGAATCGGTCGTAACTCGTTTCTAACTAAATTTAAAACCGATACCATTCCAAAGGTACCTACTGGGGAAACTCTCTCTCTCTCTCTCTCTCTCTCCCTCTCTCTAAGCCGCACAAAGTTACACTTAATTTTCTAACGTCAAGTTTCTAAATGTATCTTGGAAGGTAAATACTCCGTCCTACGTTAGCTCGTTTTCCTAAGGCATACACAAGCAGCAAGGCTTCGCAATCAAGGCTGTCAATTTGGGTTAGGTCGCAAGCATGATAGGAGAATGCCATTCCATATCTCTATCGAGTATGAGTAGAACGCATCGGTGACTATCGATGAGATTAATCAGGATCGTTGCGACAAATTTCATCGATTATCAACAACAAAAATATTTCAATTTCTAACAAATTTTACGGTGGATCGTAAATATAACGAAAAGGAAAAAAAGAAAAAAATTATGGTGCTTCTAATACTAATTATCTTTACCATGGACAACAAACGAGCTTAAAAGCTCGCGTACTAGGAGTAACAAAATTGGCGTTCAGCCACCCACGTAATTTGAGACACGCTCGGTTTACGATACGAACTAACGCGCGCCGAACCTATCTTCGACACCTAATAATAATTACTATGCATTAGGTAGACTTGACTCGTTCGATCAAACGATATAATATTCGTTTCATATCTAAACTTCATTTTTAAAATTTTTAGAACCTTTCTTTAATATATCATTTCAGAATTTAATCTAATTCATTAAAATACGATAAGCAATATATGAAAGTATTTTAATGTACATGGTTAGAATTATAAAGAAAAGATTTTGAAAATCCAATGAAATATGCAACCTTTCACTCGATAGTATTTGCGTCACGTTAGATTTCGATATGTCGCAAGTAATATCGAGTAATATGGAGACTCGAAGTACCATTAGAGTGCTCGTTAAAAAATGCATGCGATCTAAAGATTATTCTATTTTTATATTGTTATTCTTTTAAAATCAAATAAAATCTCGATCGCGTTCGATGCCTCTTGGAAGAAAAATCGATGGTACCACATCTATTTGTTTCAATCAAAGAAAAAAAAAAAAAAAAAAAAAAAAAAGAAGAAGAAAAAAGAGAAATAGTTTTGTGTTCTTAAAATCTATACCAGTGTATATTAAATATAGTCGAGTTTAAATCAATACTATTGGATTATCCATTATTTCTTGTATATTAACCTTTATTTCATTAACCTTTCGTCCTCGTTACGATTGAGTGTTCCGAGGGATTTAAAAATTCACTTAATACTTAAGTAGTTTTGCGATGGCTCCAAAACACTCGTCCACGATTTAGGTTGAAATTGAGGAATGAATGATTCGTAGGTGATTAAAAATGAAGTAAGTCGACATCGACGTTGATTGAAATCCTATTCGGTGATACACTGACTCTAATAAGCGATAGTTATTTTTTAACAGATAGTCACTTAAGTTTATTCGCAAAACTGACACAAGAAACTAACTAGACTGCATTACACGTATTCGATGCAAGATAAATCGCGAAATGCGACCGAACAAACAAACATTGTACTTCTATTTCGCGATTTTTGAATTTTTATTATACAAACACACGATTACTTCGTTGCTACGTATAGATTGCAATGTAGTTCTGAGTATAAAAAATACAAAGAAAATTATTAGTATCATTATTATATCGAGAAAGTATTAAAAATATACGAAATTGAGATTCTTTGAGAGCGCTCGTTGTTACACGACGAGTGTACTGCCTCCAAATGATGAAGAACGAAAGAGAGACCTTCGATGTTTACTCGTCGGAATGCTATAGGAAACTAACCTGATAATCTTCTAAAAGTCAGTCAAAGGTCTTTCTTTGTTGATATTACGCATAGCCAACGACCGCAATATAAAAATATGTAAATATTGGCCTATTAAATACGTATTACACGTTATGAACGAATTATGAAATGTTTAACTAAATGTATTATTGTTTAAATAATAGCCAATTATATTCCTTCAATATTATTAATTGTTTAAATAATTCTAAAATTATCGATAGTATGAATTGTTTAAACTTATCACGTTTGAGAGAAGATTGTCTCGATGCGTTTATACGTCGGAATGCAAAAAAAAAAAAAAAAAAAAAAAAAAAAAAGAAAAAAAGAAAAAAAAAAAACTGTTTCGATGACAATCAAAGTCAATCAAATATTTTGTTTTTTCGTTCATATTAGATGAGAAAAAAGATTTCGAGTTTAAAATTTAATCTATATCGAAATATTAAATTAAAGCTATTTCATATTTAACGCGTTTTATGAGTCATGTAACATTTGCGCGAATGTACTATTGTTTATATATTAGTTTATTATATCCCGAGTACATTGTACATTGTTTAAATAATTAAAAGGTTTTCGAAAATATAAATTATTTAAGCTTAACTGTATGGAACGAGAGAATTTCGTTATTTATTCGTCGGAATGCTAAATAATACTTTACTCGATAACTATCAAAGTCGATCGAGCGTTCGATTTTATTGATGTTCATATAGATGCAGCAACAACTTCAAGTTCGAAATTTACATGGATCAAGGTATTAAATTAAATTTATTTTATATTTAACGTACGTTACGTCCTGTTGAATTTGTAAACAAATGTACTATTGTTTAAAACCTTAGTTAATCGTACTGCATATAAACTTGAAATTATTTTAATAAATGTGATATAATCGAAAGTATTAATTATTTAAACGAACGAGTATAAACAGCGACGATTTAAACTTATAACGATGTGAAATAGAAAAGATAACCAACTCGACAGCTGTTAAAATCATATGTTCGTTAATCATTGTTATAAATTAAATAAGTATATTGATTGTTACGTTATCTTATTACAAAAGTAAGAATGACAAATATAAAAGGAAAGAAAAGAAAAGAAAAGAAAAGAAAAAGAACTAAGTATGTTATAATATATACCTGTAATATAATATTAATACCTTAAGGTTTAACACGATGTTCTCGATACTCGGCTATATTTAACGCTTCTATTTGCGTAAAGTGCTCTCTCCCACACGAAGGAAGGAGTATATCGATCTATCAAAGAGTACTATCGCGTCGATAGCACTGAAAGCGAAAGTCCATCTATTCGAGAGACTCTAACGAAATTTTAACGCCCAGAAATCTTTTTATAGTGCTCATAAGAGACATAGGTATCTACACAGAATATATTGAAGTACATACATCGCTTTGGTTTTTCATGCTGAATCTGACCATGCTAATCTACCGGGTAGCATGTTTCGAATGATTTAAGTAGTCCGATACTAGTAAATGTTGGAATAGTAGAGGGAGACCAGAACTTGAATATGGTGGCTGATGAGACGGGTAGGTGGAGGGTAAGAGTACGAAAATATCCATTGGCTTGTAGCCAACTTGCTCTGCCCGTTTTGCAGACCAACTCGCACCCTTTTCGCTTACGTACATATCTTCCAGGTATTTATGGAACCTCCTTTGCAGATTTATTGGTATCGAGTTTGTGCCTATATCGATTTCCCTCTTTAATAATACATTCATATATTAATCTATTTCAAGTAGATAAAATATTTAAATTTATATATAATACATTGTGTTTTTATTATAATAATAATTGTGTTTGACGATATTAACCAACTGTACATGTTTTGTTTTGTTTGTTTTTTTTTTTTTTTTTTTTTTTTTTTTTTTTTTTTTTTTTTTTTTTTTTTTTTCAATAAAAAGATCATTTTCTAATCGTAAAGAAAGGATTATAAATTAAATTCTATCATTCAAAATTAGATATCCAATGTATAGAATTGTTTCTTATGAAAGATTGCTTAATATTTAAATATTAATATTTTCTGTTTCTCTTTCTCTCGCTCTCTCTCTTTCTCTCTCTCTCTCTCTCTCTCTGTCCTTCTTTCGTTCTTATTTTTATAAGCACGTGTATAATATTGTTTATCGTTTGGAAAAGTTTGAAAATTTTTAGGAAAAGAATTTCTAGACGAGCCACCCTGTATACATTTCCATCCACCAAGAGTTCATATCGAAACTTCACAGCGTTCCGTCTTCGTTACATCAACGACAGGCGACATCCACACTGCGACCCTCTTCCATCGGGCCGATATTTACGACATGAAATTTGCAAAATCGATCTCGGCTTTTCCTATCGTCCAAACTGGCGTCTCATTTTTTCGTTTGTTCTTTTTTCTTGTTTTCTTTTCTTATTTTTTTTCCCCCAAAAATACACAACCTCTCCTTCGGCCTAGTTTTAAAATGAGATAATAAAGCTTTGAGAATCATTACGCACTCTTTCTCTCTCTCTCTCTCTCTCTCTCTCTCTCATTGAAATTAATATATCCAAAACGAATATATATTCAGCAATTTTGATGAAACAGAATGGTTCTTTGTCTTTCAAATTTGTAATGAAATTCGTCGTATAATCGTCCGTTTTAACCACTCCAAATATTTTAATATAGATACATTGATATGGGAAGATATATATATATATATCCCTGGTTAAAGGAAAAAGAAAATGTATTAAATATATTCAATGTTTTAGATAAAAAAAAATAATTATAATGAGGATTCTCCAAAGAGATGAATTTTAATTCGATTATATAAAATCAAATACGAAATGGTAAAATGCGTTCGTGTCTCGTTATTAATACAACGATGAAAATAATAACGCGGCGTTTATTGTCTGGTATTGTCGAAGGCGAGTACGATGATGAATATCCGTGGTCGCTATTAAAAAGTTCAAAACGATTAACAATAAACTCTCCGCGTGCCAGTAGCGACGTGGAATGAGCATTGGACAATGCACACTGCTGGCCAATTCGTTTCCGCGGCATAATGTCGTGGATTTTGTAACGACGACGTAACAATGTGCAATTTCTGCCGGAAATAAATAACTCTACCATGCCGGACACGATGGAAACCGATTCGGCGAATAATCGTCCGCGATGTTTTTCGAATGAATGAGAGATGACATTTTTCTCTCTCCCCCTCTCTCTTCATTCATTCAAAAGAAATGATAAAAATCGATTATATTACCCTTTTTTTTTTTTGGCAATTAGTAAAATCATTTTCTTTTCTCTTTCTTACTTTCTTTTTATCTCATGTCCATATTTCCTTCTTCTATCTCAAATAAATTAATTATGATAATCATCCTGTAAATTTATTATTATTGAATTATTTTTTATCTTTCAATTAATTCGTTTATACTTATTCATTATTGTCGATTATTAAATACTTTAAGTAATTATACAAAACAGGAATAAACTTAATAGTAATATCGTTATATCTATCTCTTTGTTTTTACTAACGAATATAGAAGTGACCACAAAATTAAAAATTAAAATTCTCTACGAGAAGGGACGGAATAAACGTTTTGGACAAAAATCCACTAGTGTCTCGAAATAAACGGATGTAAAGAGAAAGCTTTTAAACGATATCAGTTGTTGGTTTTTTTTTTCTTCTTCTTTTTTTTTAAATTAACGCTTCGTTAAGACCAATTAGTCTTTTCGTTTAAAAGAAGAAGCGATGTTTTCTTTTTTTTCATTCTCTCTTCTCCCAAACCCTCGACTTTTCGTTCCGATCTATTTTTTAATCGGACGAGTTATTAAATAGTCCAAGAGAAACGTGTATTTCGAATTTATCGGACAGCCTCGACAGAAAAGTTTATACGCGATTATTAATTTCCTTTTCCGATCGAGCAAATATTTTATCAGCTTGGTAAAAATTGTTCGTTTTATTCGAAGCGAAAACCTCACCTCATGCCAAAATCTTAAATATATGTACCAGCTAATTGGTAATGCTATTTTCTGTGATAACGGAACAACAATTAATCTATATATATATATATATATATTATATGTATATTTAAACTCTATATAATTGCGGAAAAAATTAAAATACATTTTGATATATTTTCTTTCCGCTTGTAAAATTGTTTTCATTATTGATCAGCATTAATTCTTTTCGTTGGGCTCTCGATTGTCATAATAAAAATTTTATTTATAATAGAACGTTGAAATATTAAATATTCCTTTTTTTTTCTTTTATAAAGAACGCGATTTTCTTTTTTAAATTCTCTCAAGATATCGAAACGTAACACGAACGCTATACGATAAAAATTCTTAATACATAAACACACGAGATTCTGAAGATACATTTAAAATTGATTAATCGTTCGAGAATCGATTGAAAATCGCTCGAAAAGTTTTCCACGGCCGATGTATCACCGCCATCCTCTGTTGATTTAAGAATCCCATACGTCAAGTACGTGATAAGTAACGTTATCGATCGCATTCCATTAACCTTATTTAACGTAAACGACGAGGTTCGCGCATTAACGTAATAATCCTATCTCGATATACCCGTGCACGATTTATCGATAAACAAAATAAGCACGCAAAGCGGACGACACACGTCGTCAAAAACAAATTTCACAAAATAGCCAGACTCTAAATATCATCATAATGAAAAATTTTTTCTGATATTTTGATTGATTCATCAACAAAATGTTTCAAACAAAATAAAAATAAAAAAATATTCGATTAATTGACGATCATAGAAGGGCTATTATCCTCTTCTGAGAATCAATTGTTGTTTTTTCTATTTCCTTCTTCTTCTTTTTTTTTTGTCCTCACACACACACACAAAAAAGCTGCGAAAGGGCGAAAAATAAGTAAGAGAAAGAAAGAGAGAAGAGAGAGAGAGAGAGAGAGAGAGAGAGAATGGTCGAATCAACCTGCTCGTCGCAGCTCGTTCGTTCTATACGGAGACCTGAGTAGATGTCACGCG